TTACATCTTCTGTTGCTATATTATGGTTTAATACTTCTTACAAATGAATTATGACATAATAAAAAAATTCGCCATTCTGAAAGGAATTGTTTATAAGAGGAAAGAAATTTCTTTATATTTGCTTCTCCATTTATGTAGCTTTATAAACTCCTATAAGTATGCAAAATTGTAACAATTTACAAGTTGTTTATATTATTCTCATTATACACTCAAAACACAAAGAACTTCTAAAATATTGAAAGTTTAAAACAATTTTTGAAATTTTTTCTTGTAATATCAACATTATTAAATAATTATGCTGAGGTAACGATCTTGACGCCTCAGTTTATTGGATTTCTTATTAATTAAAATTAAAAAAATTAATATTTAACAATAATTAATTCCAATAAAATTTGTTCAAATTCAAACTATAGCTTGGTAATATTTTATATAAATTTATTATTTTATTTTTAAAAATAAAATATTGCATTATTTCTAATTATAACATAAACTGAGCACTTATATTATATTGCTATACAAACCATGTATGTGTGTACGACATTTCGATAATTTATTTAATCTCAAATATTTTGAATGTTACTAAAACTGAAATTCATAAAAAAGAAAACATAAAAATTTTACATTTTGCAAAACAATTGCAATTGATCAAAAGTAGTATTTTTTTTGTATTCTTTTAGAGTAAAACGTAAGCGTTTTTAGTGAACACTTTTTTGACATAAAATAATTTACTTCAACACTTTAAAAAATATAAAAAAAATTTTTGCTTTTTTTCTCAGTCAACGAATAATTTATTTCACTTTTATATTATTTCTTTTATTTTTTTTTTATTTTTTCTATAAAAATGTTGCGCTAAATAAAATTATAAAAATAAAAATTAAAGTAAAAATTTTTAAAAAAGAATTTAATCACTATGCCTTTGGTCTAAAACTATTATCATAAAATATATTTAAAGATAATATACAGTGTGGCAGTGCAACATTAAAATTTTTGCTTCTTAAAAACATAAATTTTATACAATCCGTAAGATGCAAAATATGTTTATAAACATAAGACGAATTTATTCATTTTTATGTAACAGTGGTTCTCATACTTAGTTTTTATTGCAGAAGATTTTTTTACAATAGTATAAAATGGGACTTCGATTTTTTACGGACTGGGAAAGATGCAATAAAGAGGTGATAGCACCAAATTTAATATATTGATTTTTCGGTGGAAACGATTTTCTGCATATGGTAGGGAAGCTAAAATTTACGATGCTATTAAGCATGGTAGTGCCGGTCTGCGTGTACACGCGTGTATTTTATTTTCGTCCGAAGTTTCTACTCCTTTCTAATTTTCGAATAGAGAAATTAATAATTAAATATTCTTTTTTGTGAAAATTATAGTGGAACAAAAATTATATGTAATTAAATTTTATATATTAAAGTTTTTTGATTCAAAGTTCAATGCTTATTCACAGTAAAAATCCTTGCAATTACAATAAATTACAAAATACAGTTACAAAATCAAAATTTTCACTTTGAAATTTAAATTACACACTATTAATGGTAATCATAAGTATTTAATAATTATGATCTGTTCTAAGAATTGTTCAACAATTTTTCGATGAAAAACACCTTACGAAAATATTCCCAAAATATGGTTGACATTTACAATTTTTTGTAAAATTGTTACAAGCTTTAGTCTGAAGTCATTACAAAGACTTTTCAATTTTATAAATTGCGATACGTAGCATTACCGTACAACATGAATAGTTAATCAATAAACTGTTATACATTTACAAATCACTCTTAACTATGACTCTATTACGAAGCCCCTTAACATTTCATTTTGAATATCACATTATTATATTTTTACATAAGGAATTATTATTAATAATACAGTGTATTTATATAAATGCACACATGCATGTTATAAGATCAAACTGTTACTGTTATTTTGCTTTATGATTGGAAAATTGCATAAAAAAACACGTTTATATTTTTGAGCTTTATACTTTTTTTTTTTAGTTATACGTTTCAAATATAAATGAAGACCGTTTCCTTTTATACTAGTATAAATTTTCTATATATATATATATATATTGTCGTCAGAATTTATGTGATAAATTTTATTCTATATGGTTAAAAATTTTGTTAATAATTTTCCTTTGATTTTTAGAAGCTGTAAAAATGACTTTTAGAACTGCTTATTAGTTCAAGTTTAAACGCTTTAACAAAATATATACAGAAACATATATACATACACGTGCATTGAGTTCTTATTAATACAACTGTATAACACATACTATGTATAATACTTAAGAATAGTATTTTTAGTTTCATATTCCAACAACATGTTTAACATAAAATTAAAGAAGCTAATGTACATGTGTATGTGTACATGTGTATATGCATAGATTATATATAGTTTGGCATGGATGTGATAATGTATACACGTATGTTGCTATCTTGTGGAAAAATTTTTATATATAAAAGAAGATTATTGAATAAATGCGAATGTAAAGTAGTTTTATACTCGTATATCAAAATATGCAAAGCCTATTGTTACAATAACTGGAAAAATATAGGAAAAAAAAAACAAAAAAAAACAAAACAAAAGAAGAAATCCTGTGGATCAACATTTTTTTGTTTTTTCGGTTTTTGTTTTGTTTTTAGTGTGCCTTAAAGCTTTTTTGTGATGTATGGTTGGCCAATCTCATTTTAAGTATAATTCCATCTATTAAGTAAAAATATTATTATGAAAAATTGCACGTCCTGAATCAAAAATAAAATTCTTTTCATGTTTTTTTTTTTTTTTGTTGCTGTTATTGTTATACTGATATTAATTTCTGATGCTATATTCTCTTCTCTTACATACATTTACATATATATACCATAAGTAGTAAATTTGATGCACAATCAACTTAAGAACAAGAACAATAATAAAAAAATAGGAGAAAAATTTTTGAAAATTCCTTAAAGAAATACTTAACGGAACCTGTTTGCAAAATTTTTTTGTTATTATTCTTTTTACTTTTCATATTCTTTCTATATTACACCCGTTTGCATACAGTATAGTTTTCCTTTTCTATACTTATATTTTTTTTTCATAAATTTTAATTCAATATTCTTCTAAATAAATAAATAAGTATGTAAATTGTATATGTATGTATATGTTATATCCCATGTATATGCAACTTGAAATATGTGTATGTAATATGTATGACCGCTAAACAATATATGCATGTATAGCTAAAGAACAATAGGTAGAAGACAAGTGTTCAAAACTTGTACATACAACTTCTTTACAAAAAAAACAACAAAAAAAGAAAAAACCAAAAAATATCTGCAAAACTTACTGTGCACACTGTTAATCATATTTAAAGATCTTTGTTTGGTGATCAATTTTTTTATTACTGATATTATAAGCGCTTTTTTTAATAGCTCCCGGTTATATAATTTAAATATAATATATTGTGTACATATAAAATATTGTAACATATTATATTATATATGCATATATATATATATACGTTTTACAGTAAGAAAATTAATGTACGGAACTTTCAATATACTTTTAACTTAAAAAAAAAAAACAACAACAAAAAACAAAATTATCTTTTTAGGGGATTTTTTTTTACTTTTAAAATTTGTTCATTGCCTTAAACATTGAATGAAATAACAGAACAAAAAAAAAAAATAAATTTAATTCGTCTTTGCATTGTTTTTTTTTTTTTTCATTTCGCTCCCCTTCTTATACAAACGAACTACTATTCATTGAACACTATAAATGAAATTCAAATTCCAACAATTCAATGTTCAATCTGCAAGTCTAACAAGCACAACGTTTACAACTCCAACAATAATATAGTCTATCTTAATATGGCGGCAACCTGAGACCAACTCAAATCACGCAATATAAAACAAAGAAATCTCTTCTGACCGAACTCGATTCTGGAAATATCAACAGAACGGTATATGCTCCCCAACCTGAAGCAAGTATTTAAAAAATGGGCCTAATATATAATAAAAACAGATGCTTTCCAATATATAGGGGTCAGTAAGCTATTTTGCCCACCTCATAACGAAACTTAACTTAGAATTTACCTTATTAATAACCATGATACAGTTGGCCCTTAAAGTCAAATTCTTAAATTAAAATCAGAATATTTTACTTTGTAAAAAGTTTATGATTACAAGCATTTGTAACTTAACTGTAGTCAAATAACAGATATTACAAATTTAACAACGTAACCTGAAAATAATTTTTTGGAATTCTCTGAGAAATGATAACATATAAGCTCCGCCTCATAATTTTGGTTAGAATTCTTACATTTTTAATTTAAAGCACCATTTTTTTTCTTAAAAACAATTTAAAGATGACCTAAGTACAGTGTAAGGGTAATTAATATAAGGCGTGTATACTTCCAAGGCTTGTATATTTAAGAGCAACCAGAATTTTCATACACTATTTTAACAATTTAATATTTAAAATAACTTATTTTCATCACATTTTTCATCCCAGACCTCTTTCATATCACAATTCTTTGAGAAGTACTTTTGTAGTTCTAAAAATCGGAAGTTCGACTGTTTCCATGGATTTTAATAATTTTGTTTTTGTAATTTCCAATATTCTATCAATATATTGACTGAATACTTTTATATTATTATTATACTGTGTATAGGTATATAAAGTACCTACATAAAATGCACATCATTTAAGAATATTAAACCTTAAGAGAAATAATGTTCATCCTCAATATGAAAGAAAATTATAAAGCATCTCTTAATTTCTTTTTGAATATACATGCTTCCAATTTTAATATTTATAATAAATTTTTATTTCATAATTATTATATGAAATTTTCTCTTACTCCCCATATATTATTTTAAAATATTTTTTAGTTCTTATTTTATTTTATTTCTTAATATTTTATATAAAAAGTTTAATCAACTTTTAATGTATATGCAATTTTATTAAATTTGTTTTTGTTCTTTCTTTGTTTTTAATTATTTTAGCTTCCCGAATGCCATCATCACACACCTCGCCACAAGTATGTAGACCACATTTTCATGCACCGTTAACACCATGGTTGACAAGTGAACATAAATCATTTCCACCTGGTAGCCCTTGGGGTACACCATTTGCTTGTCCACAGGATCCACATCAGGATAAAGTTAGTCAAGTTCAAAATCATCAAGCAAGTCAACATGCATTTCCATTTCCACCGACACCACCAAAAGACTCAACACCGGATTCAATACAAACGGGTCCATCTGATTATCAGGTAAATTATTTATTTTTTTATTTAATTTAAAAATTTTCATTTAAATATATTGAATTTTTTTTATGTTTGTTTGAATAAAAGTATTTATTCAAATTATTACTGTAATTTTGGTTATTCAAGTTAATTTAAAGTTATGGGTGTTAAAATGATGATACAAATGCCAAAATGTTCTAATAGAAGATGCTTATCATAAGCTCATAGGATTATTAAGAGCGTAATACCAAATAAATTGTAGTGCAATACTGAGCGAAAACCAGTTAAACATTTTTGTAGCTTAATCTCAAATTTCACCAGTACTAAAATAAATATTCTTATAGATGCATTTTTTTTTTTTTGGTTTTTAATGCATTCCGTTCATATTTAAATTGAATTTACCGGAATATTAATAAATATAAACTATTTAAGATATTGGAATTTGTATACGAATTTCCATATACCACAATAATTTTTGAAATTTTATCTCAGTGTTTTGATTCATAAAATTTTTATGCTTCATATTTCTAAAATCTTATGTAGTTTGAATTAAATAGCCAACTTTTTCGCGCATAAAATTTATTTTTATTAAACCAATTGGTTTCAAAGAGCATAGAACTATGGTAGTGTACGACGCTAATACACCACAGATAGTATATGAATAATGTTTTTTATAATTTAAATAGGTTATCCCATAACTTTTATTAACTGTAACTAGGGGTTCAACAAAGCGATAACATTTTTCATTATGACCTCAAAGGTTACCTGAATTTTTTTCCCTTTCTTACAACTGGTTCATTGAATTTAAATTTACATATTCCAGAGATCGAATTATGGACCAGAGTCTTAATATAACACTGGTAAAGAGTTTCCTTACACCTTATAATGAATTCCGGAAATAGAATGGAGATTTTTTTTAAATAAATAATCACATTGACATTAACAAATTCAAAATTTATTTTTAAAAAACGTTCAGCCGCCAAGATCCTTTGAGATAAGTGTATTTTTCTAAAAGAAAATTTTTAACCAACATGACTCTCTATAGAAGTTATGACTCCTCAATATCCCAAAAATATCATTTTTTTCTAACTCTGTTAACGCTGTATTCTAATTTTGTTTTCCCCCGGAAAGTATGCAATAACTTTTCTCTTTTTCAAAATAATGTGCTAGTTTTGAACAATTGTTTGAAATTGTTAATTTAATTGACACTTGTTGTAAAGAAAAGTGATATTTTACAAATTATTGGTTTGATTATTAAATTTAATATTTTTTTAAAAGACATTCTCAAGAGTAAACATTTTAGTAAAAATTTTATTTTAATAATTATTTTTTTCATAAATCAACAATTTAAATTGCAACTAAATATAGATATGAGTATATTATAAATAAATTCCCCATAAATACACAAACATTTTATGTACTTGTATAATAAGTAAAATAATAAGACAACAAAATTTTCAATTGTTGCATGCATGCAAATCATAGTAAATTACTAGGTTCTTTCGATTTCTTGTTTATTTATTTTAAAAATCACTATGTACATACATATATATTTTAGAATTAACCTTTATGTAAACTATTATTAAAGCGAGTGTATACAGTATAACAAAATATCAACTAAAACAGCACAGAAATGAAAAAACAAAAATTGCATTATTTCTTTGTTTTGAATAAAAATAATTGCAATGAGTTTTTTTTGAAAATTTATTACTTTTAAAATTTGTTGCCGGCTTTAATGAAAATAACCTTCAAAAATATTAAACAACAAAAATAATAAATTGTTTTACATATAATAATACATGTGTATACATACATACATACATGAAAATATATTATTAAAATACGGAGTTGAATAATATGTTAACATTCAAATTGAAATTTATGTATATTGAGTATCAGTGGTATTATTTAAATATTATAAAAATTTATTGTAATTATTTATAATATTATTAATAATTTATAAATATCATATACGATACCTACGCCTCGGAACAAGGATAGGAGTACAATTAATACCACACATATGTATGTGAAAAAATAGTGAAAAAATGTTGTGAAAAATAATTTATTTGCTATTGTTAAGGCATGACAACAATTCATGATTATATGGTCACATGAATTTCAATTCATTGACAATTAATTTAATTATCTGTTTTAAATAAAAAGTAATAATTTAGCAATTAGTTTATATTAGAGAAATTCATGAAAGAACGGACAAGAATGGAGCCCATGACTAATGCTAATTTTAATTTTGGTTAATATTATCTTCGTATATTGGAAAGGATTGCTTTGAAATCTATACTTTCTAGGAATTTGAATTAACTGTGGATTATTGTAAATGAAACTGTAAAAACAAAAAGAAAGTTTTTATTATTTGTTTTTTGTTTTAAGTTTTACGGAACTTAATCAAAAATCTTTTTTTTTTTTGTGTCTCTATAAGCTCTGACCCTTACTAATTTTCTCGCATTTTCTTTCCTTTTCCGTCTTCATCAAATGATGGCGATTTTATTAGGCAATCTGATAGCTGAATTTTTGTACGGCTAAATGATAATTGTTTTTGCTCGATCGTGCAATATTAATTTGAATGATAGTTGATAGTATTTGTTCTAATACAACTTTTTCGGTCCCGTAAACTGAAATGATTCTTAAAAGTTACTATTAAAAAACTGTTTAACAAAATTTTTAAAATTAGAATTTTAAAGATTTTCTCACCAAAAAAATTTATTGCTGCAAATACCTTTCCTGTCTTTCTTAGAAAAAATCTTGAAAAAAAACAATAATGGCAACATTATAAAAATCTTAAATATCCCACAAATTATTGAAATTATGGTGGAATTAAATTTCCTCTCAAATTTATCGAAGGCTATCAACAAAATCCTTTCAATTAATTTCCTCTTGCATTTAACTTAATTCCACAACATCACAATGAACTTCAACAATTCTTCTTGTTTTATTTTTTTCCAAAATGCCATTAGCAAACTTAAAACCAGAAAAATACCAAATCAAAATTTCGAAAGGGTCTATATAATTAAATATTTGATTTAAAAGATTTTATTTGCTCATTTATGCGACGGTAATATTAACGAGTAATTAAAAACAAGATTTTAATAAAATATTTAATGCAATATCATAAATTTTTTTATTAATATTAACAAACATGAAAATTTTTATAGTATATTTTTCTTTTTAATTTTTTATATTCACAATGTTTTCGTTTTCCCGATGCAATATATAATAATTATCACGAGAAAATGGCGATCGTAAAAAAATTTAACTCTCTTTCTACTTTTAAATGTGCGCAAAATTTTTATATGACTTGCTCTCAATACATTCAGAAATAAACATGAGATCGTAAATTTATACCGACAATACGATTACAAACAATTCATTCATCCATTAGACTTCAATGTAATTACTATTTGTACTATTTTTATTTAATATATTTATTTTTGTGTTTATATTGTGCGAATGCATTCATTTTGAGCATTTCGAAAATGGTATATACCATAACGTTGAATATGTCATTTTTATTTGCAATTTATTTTTTAATAAGTACTCGAATGTGTACATGTGTGTTTATATATATATTTATTTCACATACATTAGATTGTTAATGCCCATGTATAACACATGTATAATATAATAGGTTCATTTTATTTTAAATATATATATATATATATATACAAGCAAGTATAATAGGGTTTGTTATAATAACAAAAGACAATGTGGTTAGAATTTTTCTATGCGACGAACATGCAATGTAATGCAACAAAATAAATAGAGAAAAAAAAACGCTTACAGGCATAATACAAATTTACGTTTTATTTTTTTTTTTATTATTAAGATTTTTACATTTTATTGTTTTAATTTTTTATTCTAAAATGAAAACATAAGTAAAGTACAAACGCTATCATGTTGTGTAGTTGAAAATTTTACTAAATGAATTGAATAGATTTTTCATTCAATAGATTTTTATATGTGTGCTTATGTGCAATGGATTCTATTTACATCAATTCTCTAGCGAATTGGACGGAAATCACAATATAAATTTTTATTATACATTTTATACAGAGTGTTTCAGATCTCAGATCTCTGATTTACGGATTGTTAAACTGAAATATTTTGAATTTACCGAAAATATTCTAAATTTTCTGACTCTCACAGTATTTACATTTTTCTTACATTTATAATGTATTGAATATCTTATACTGTTATACTGTTAAAATAAAACAGCAATAATTTAATAATAATAATGGTATATAAAAGTCAAAATTTTAAATTGTATTCCTTGTATTTATAAAAAATCTATGAAAGTTTTTAGATCTTCGGAAGTTAGAAAAGTTTGCGCCCATACAGCAATACTCAAAATAACAATTTAAATTTTTTATATTGCATCATACTTCTTAGCGCCTAGTTTTTTTTTCTGAAATATTTTGGTTTCCGAATTCAAGTTCTGTACAACTAATATCTACCAAAGACCTATACACCTTGTATATAATGACATTTATAATGCCAGTTTGCTTTTTAATTTTACAATACTTTTGTTTATTTTCAAAAAGTATGTATGCGTGTACTTGGATTACAATTGTATATATGATTTTAATTTTAATAACAATCAATTATATTAAAGTTATACAAGTGTATAATAAGCTGGGAACATATTATTGTACAAATGTAGTACAGTTTTAACATTTAAAATGTCCAATATATACTAAAGCAAATGCACAACAACAAAAGGCGGGCAAACAGGCGTAGACACATTTAAATTTTTATTTGCTTTTTTATGTCTCTTTCTTTCTCTATTTATAAATGATGATGTATAAATCTATATACATATATTTTCATTACTATACTTGTATAAAAGAATATTTTGCACAACACTGAGAAAATTTGTTTGTCACCGTATCAAATTTTCATGATTTTCTTTTGTTTTTACAATTTTTATATAATTTTCTTTTTTTTTTTTTGCTAATAAACGAAAATTATTACGATTTTTTATTTGTATACCGGGTATAATTAAAGTAGAAAATATGAGTTTTAAGTGTTTGGGAATTTCAATATGTTTAGTATGTGAATATAAGAGATTGTTAATAATTAACTCTATATAAATTTTATGTCCCGTATAGAAATAATAATTTGAGAGTACATGCAAACACAATGCATTTACATACGTACACAATGGTATGAATGTATCTGATTTGTAGTATGTAGAAAAATTCCCTTCAAAGTAAAATAGAAACATAAAATTTCTGATTTAAGGCGAGGAATGAAATTTTTCATTGCAAGTAAACTTTTTTTTTTTAATGTCCTGTAAAATTAAATTATACTTATTATTTATAATTGATCTTGTGTTGTAAAAAATTTAACATGAAAATGTTCCAAGAGACTGAAATTATATGAAGTTGTCATTATTTTTGATTTCGTATATGCGCCACAGTTGTGAAGTTTTCGTATGTGAAGAGTTTCTCATTTCAAATTCGACAATATGAATTTTGTAGTTTAATTTTTATTGCTTGATCATTTCAAGATATTCGTAAATTTACCAATGAACTTTAATCATAAATATTTTTGATTTTGAAACAATAAATTTTTCGTGAGTCCACTCAAGGGTCATGAAAATTTTAGATAAATTTTTGATCATTAAAATTGAAATAGGCCCTTTACCAAAATAGAAACAAAATACTGAAACAGAAAAACTCAATGTGCCCTTTATGATAGACTCCTATCCTTCCGTCTGTATTAAAAATTTAATTTATTGTTAAAGTAATACAATTTTTGTTCTGTAAAATAAATATCAATAGGGTGTTTAAGATTTCTTAGTAGGTATACTTAAAATATTAGTACGAGTATTTTTAACCATTTTAAAACTTTCATTATTTTGAATTAGTGCTTTTTTAAGCTATAATTTACAAAGATAGGGAAAACTAATTCAGAAAATGATAAATTCATAGCCATAGTGTTTTCTTTTCTCTATTACAGCCCTTAACTATGTATATTTAGTGTTTGTACAAAACAAGATATTTTTAAATGAAATTCATTTTTAAAATGTACTTTTTTTTTGCAGGCTGCAGTTAATGCATTTATGCATCAAGCTCAGCAATCAACTACCTCAGTTGGAGCAGATACAGGCTGTGCACTTGATATAAAACCATCAATACAAAGTGGTGGTGGAGGTAGCGGAGGCGGTGTAGTCCCTGGTGGTGTAACAAATCCGTTAGGTAGTGCTACATCTAGTGGTAACAATGGAAATAATCAATCAACAGCTCCAAAACAACGTGAAGGTACAACAACAAACAATTTAAATACAAACAATAGTAATAACAACAACAATAATAGTAATAATAATAATAATAGTAATAATAATCATAATACAACAAATCATAATAATCAATTAAATTCAACATTAAATGGTACCAGTAGTAGTATGTTTGATACAACTGCTGTACAAAATGCAATGTATTCAACTGGTTATGATAGTCCATATGCAGCTGCATATCACCATCATCATCATCATCATCATCAATCGAATGGATCAATATTTCAATCATCTAGAAGTAATGTTGGTAGCCAAAATATAAAATCACAAAGAACAAAACCTCGTACAAGTGCTGGTAAGACAAAAGACATTAGTGGTGTGGGTTAATTATTAAAAAAAAATTTTTTTAATTTAATTTTTTTAATTAAGTACAAAACAAAATATTTTTTTTTTTTTAATATAATTTATTTATTTTTTATTTAAAATTTTATTTCAATTTAAATTTTTTATTTTTAATTTTTAGTTTTCTTGTATATATATATATATATATATAGCTTTGAAGTTGTTAAAAATTAATTGATTCTTAACATTTTAAACCTTTAATTTTCACTGTTAGCAGTTTAATTTACGTGGTGTATAAGAAGAAATCAAATGGATTTACTATAAACAGACCCGGTTCTAACTTGTTTGGCGCCCTAAGCTGTTTCCAAAAAGGGCACCTCCCGCCCTCCACTTCCGTTATAATAAGATTCCGCATAATAAAGCACTTTCGTATAACTTTCGTACAATGCTGAATGCTTGATAAATTATAGAATTAAAAGCGTGAAATTAAACTTCCAAATTTTTCCTTTGAAATATTTGTATATCTTATTTTTCAAAATTTTTAATGGCGCCCCTGTTTTCTGGCGCCTATTGCAAATGCATACTTTGCTTATATGGTAAATCCGCCGCTGACTATAAATAATGCTAAAAATTTGTAATTTTTTTAAATTTTAATTCGATTTTCAATATATCTAGAACATTATTATAAATTTCTTAATATACCAGAACTAAAGTAAAACGTTTATAACACTAAATATGTAGAACGGACAGAAATATGTAGAGGCAACGAATATTTTGCTATTTTACTTTATAGTTCCAAATCATTTCCATTATTAAATCTATTTATAACATTAATATTTTATTATTAACTTATATAGATGTCAATATACGTTCAATAAAACTGTTATAAAGCAACTTCTTTCAATAAATTTGACAATCGTTCGAAAATGGCATTGTATATGACGACCTCTGTAGTTATTCCGATTTAGATATTTTTTGAAATTTGTTGCTGCAAACACTTAAAGAGCCAGTATGTATGTTAATATCAAATTTTTTTGTATTAATTTTGCAAACAATTTGACATTATTCGCCCTCACGGAGATAAAATAAACATTCAACAAACAATATGAATTATTTACTTTCGATTGTACGTAAACGGTAAAAAAAAATATTATTTTTTTCCCCCAAATATTGCTTATGGTACTTATTTACAAGTGTATACTATGTAAAAGCAAAACATGTAAATTTCCTTTTAAAATTAATAATGAACACTAAGAATGCTAAGAAATAAGTGTTTGAGATATATGATATCAATGATATAGTGTTCCTGAGTATCGGATTCACGGTCGTCTGTGCGTAACTCAACAGTTTACTGTCCTAAATTTTCAAAACTGTTTAGTTATAATATATGCCACTACACTATTTAAATTTGATGTAATCGGGGCAGTAATTCGAGCAGGTACCATACAATTTTGAAAGTTATTTGATCATATCTCATATACTATGGAGATTAGAGTACTAAAATTTGTCACAAACGCATACGTTAATATAGCACACTACTTTCATTGTTGTTGAGATTGTATGAGCTTTATGGTGGCTGCTTGAAAAGCTATTCATTCATATTAAGAAAATGTTAAAAGTTGAGGACGAATTGCATATATAACAAAGCAATTATTTAAAGAAACAAAACACTGTCTACTTTATCGACAGAACTTATTTGAATATAATTTCAAGAAATATCGAAAATACCTATTGATATCTGTGTCAAACTCCTGTTGCTTGAAACACTTCATTCTGTGTACTACACACATTTTTGTCGTAAAATTTTTTCCATAATTTTTTGACATTTTGTTTTTGTTTTTCTTATTAAAAAAGTGCAATTAATTTCTAATTTTATTCATTATTTATTTATTTAATTTTCTTAAGTTATAAGTTCTTATATGTACACATATACCATAAGTTATGTGGCATTATTTGATGATGGTTTTCTACTTTCCATAATAGGACCATAATTCCCATTCTTCTTAATTTTATTTCATTTTTTAACATCTTCTTCGATTTATTTTTCACATTCTTCACTTATTTATTGATAAAAAAAATAAAATAATAGTGAAAAAACAACAACAATAAATAAAAAATAATTTATTTTCTAAAAAATGTTATAAAAAAAAAAACTCTGTAAATAGATACAGATTGGAAAACAAAAAAAAAAACCTCAAAAAAAAAAGGTCAAATACGTGTTTATTGTTAATTTTAATAGTTATTCTTCTTATTAATTTAACAAAATACAGAATAAAAGTACCAAATACTAAAAAAATCATACACATGAAATAATATACGAAAGACAATAATACATAGATATTGTATTGTGGTAAAGCAAACCACCTTAGACAGTGTTGCCGTGTTATATCGAATGAAAAAGATTCGAATTTTTAAAATTTAAATCTGTGATCTCTCATTTCATACTTATTACATCGTACATACGAAGAAACACTTGGAAATCTTGAAAATTTTTATTTATTTAGTCAAATGTCCGCAACAAAATTTTTTAATTTTGTATCGCAATGTAATTAAATTGCAATTCAGTCTAACTGCAATTGTAATATTATAGTTGTGTCACGACAAGCTTGTCACATATTCAAAACTACATTGACATAAAGTGTTGTTGTATTAGTAAATTTAAAAAGAAAACGAATTTATTTCTGGTTTGACAATGACGTGGATGATTCGGTAATAATTTTGAAATTAATTGCAAAATTTCAAAGTGTTGCCATTTATTGCCATATGCATTTCAAAGCCAATTGAAATAATAGAGAAAAGTTCAAAGGTAGACCGAATAAATGGTGGCAATTCTACCTTAATAAGCGTGTATTCGATTTCTTCATTAAATTATTATAGATTTTAAAGAATTTTTCTAAAACTTGAATGAATTTTACAATAGAGTAAAATGTAGTAGATTAAAACTGAAGTACTTCAGAACTAAATTCTCTTATTTTTGTGATTTCTTTGTTAATTTTTTATTTTTTTTTTTGTAGACCCAAAAAATTCCTTACTTTCATTTTGAATAGCTTCCAAGAATTTCTCTAATTTTTAAATAAAAACAAAAAGAAATAAAAAATAAAGATACAAAAATTGTGGAGACATTTTATTATAATGACGTTTTTTCTTTTTTTTTTAATTTATCATGAATTTTTATATAATTTATGAAGAATAACGCTCACAAGCGTGCTGGAATGATTAAATTATCTATACATGTGCTTTTCTTTTTTTATTTGTTGTTGTTGTTTTTTAGTAGCTTGAGATTTTAATGTTAATGTCAATTTTTTTCAAATCTTATTGTTACCTTCAGTCAGAAAACACGACATAGCATGTGTACCATCTTACCATACAACACTTTTGTATAAATAACTATGGGTACATATTATATATATGTATGAATGTATATACAATGGGGAATGATTTTGACAAAGAAATCTTTGACAAATTAATCAATTCTATACAGGCTGCTTGTGTTAGCCATGTAATTAGAAAATAAGAAAAGAGAAAAAAAATACATACACAGTTTTTTTTTTGTTCCGTACATACCATTTTTACTTTACCTTTGCTTTCAAAGTATTTTATTATAATATTTTAAAAGAATTAATTAAATGTCATCACTTGTCATAATTACACGAACTAAAAGACAATAGCTAAGAAAGTTTTATGTACAGATTTCGTGTCTAAAATTTTTTTTTTTAATGTTTTTAACAAATCATGAAAAAAGAAAACAAAATTTCATTTTCTCCATACTCTATTTTTTTATTATCTCAAATGAGAAATATTTAATGAAAGGGTGAGTCGAAACGGTTCTGATTTTAAATTTTTCTCGTAAATTATAATGGAATTGGAAAAAAAGAAATAATATAATTGTTAAATTAATTGAAGTTGGATGGTACCGGTCTAATATTAGAAAATGTAAACTTAACCTTTTATAGCTTACGAGATATTCAAAAGTTGGATTATAAGATCCGGTAAACCAAATTCGGTAACAAGTTGATAACATACAAATTTTGGTGTCAAAATTTGTATGTTGTCAACTTACTATGTTGTCGTTGTCAACTTATGTATATTGTTTCCACTTCCACATAGAAATAAAATTTCCTGAAATGATGGTGTTTTGGAAGTTTTTAAAAATGGCAAAGAAATTTTATTAGATTTTAGCGTATGGCCAATAAAATTAGGAAAATATGTACTTATTAGTTCGTACTTTTACAAAACTTCTATTCATTCTGAAAAGAAATCTGATATTTTATGCACAAAAATATAACTTGTCGGGAAATTAATTTTTTTTGAACAAAAATTTATCTTTTGTTATTGTCCTGAAAGTATGCAATAAATATGAAATAGTTTTGCATTTAATTGAATGAGAAAACGATTTTCATACACATACGAAGATTTGTTCGAATGATATTATTACCTTATCGATTCGTTTGTAACGCTGAGAAATAACAATCTGAAATATTGACGCTATCTGAAATAATGACAAGATTATGTTCTTTTGATCGGCGTCGAAATCTGAATCGATTTAGTCATGTCCATCTGTCTCAGCTATGTAACTTAAAAACTAAATGGATTAAATTTACTAAATATCTAGAAAACTTATGATTTACTTTCACAATATTCGGCATAAACTGTAATAATTGAAGATATTTGAAGATTTTTGTAATCTAAATTAAGATCTAAATATTTGAAGATTCGTACAATCATATACAATGTGGCTGTTAAATCAAAATAATTTATAAATTACTTAATGTTTTTACTTTCCGCAAGTGATTTATTATAGCATTATACTAGAAATTCAATTGAATTGCGTATATTATTGAAGTTGTGGTTTGTGTATTAGCAAAATAGCTTCAATAGATATTTGGTTCTATACCTAAGAAACAATAGAAAATTTAGTATTATGAAATTTTGCACAAACAAAAACAATCACAAAATTTTGATTTAAAATCCACATTGTATATGACTTACGAATCTTTAAATATTTAGAAAAAT